GCCCCTGCTCCCTGTGGGGTTCACCCAGCTGGGTGCTGGGTTCTTCCACCTGGTTGTGTCCACTGTGGTCTGCTCGGCAGTGGGTTTGCCTTCGGTGTCGTGGTCCCTTTCCCCAGGCTCCCTAGGGTTGCCCTGCGACTGCTGCCCTGGGGCCGGCCTTGCTCGTCCAGTGCTCCTGCCTTTGAGCTCTGCTCTGGATCTTTCCTGGACCTTTCTCCTCTGCCTCTCTCCTGCCCCACTGTGTTTAGATGTTTGTTGATCTCAGCGTATTTCCAGGTGCATTGTTCAGATGTGTTTCTCCTGCATATTTAACCCCTTTTAAGTTTATTAAACTTGTGAACGACCCAGCACACAGTCTGTTAGTTGAGTATTCCACTCGAAAATAATACTTATTCTGTTGCATTTTTTCTTTTTTTTTAAAGTTTTTTTTAATAGTTGTAGATGGACAGGATGCCTTTATTTTATTTGTTTATGTGGTGCTGAGGATCAAACCCAGTGTCTCATGCATGCTAGGCAAGCATTCTGCTGCTGAGCTATGACCCCAGACCTTCTTTTGTTTTATGGTAAAATAATGCTATAAAGAAAGCTCAAAAATTTTTGATAACTTTGTCCAAAATATTTGTTACATAGTGATGGGTGAAGGTCTAATATTTCTAATATAAAAATCATTTTTAAAAATGAACAGGAAAAGCCAAGTTGGTGGCACACACCTGTAATCCCTTCCATTCTTGTGGTTGAACATGGAGTCACACTGGTCATTTATCCATATGTGACATAGGAAAGTTACGTCCAGTTCATTCCTCTCTTTCCTATTCCCATCCCTCCTTCCTTCCCTTCATTCCCCTTTGTCTAATCCAATGAACTTCTATTCTTCCCTGCCCCACCCCTTATTACGTGTTGGCAGCTGCACGTCAGAGAGAACAGTCGGCCTTTGGTTTTTGAGGACTGGCTTATTTCACTTAGCATGATTGTCTCCAGTTCCATCATTTACTGGCAAATGCCATGATTTCATTCTTCTTTATGGTTGAGTAATATTCCATTGTGTATATGTGCCACATGTTCTTTATCCATTCATCTGTTGAAGGGCACCTGGGTTGGTTCCGTAGCTTAGCTATTGTGAATTGAGCTGCTGTGAACATTGATGTGGTTGTGTCACTGCAGTGTGCTGATTTTAAGTCCTTTGGGTATGTACCGAGGAGGGGGATAACTGGGTCAAATGGTGGTTCCATTCCAAGTTTTCTGAGGAATCTCCATACTGCTTTCCAGAGTGGTTGCACCAATTTGCAGTGCCAACAGCAATGTATGAGTGAACCATTTTCCCCACATCCTCACCACATTTATTGTTACTTGTATTCTTGATTGTTGCCATTCTGACTGGGGTGAGATGGAATCTCAGTGTGGTTTTAATTTGCATTTCTCCAGTTGTTAGAGATGTTGAACATTTTTTCACGTTTGTTGACCATTCGTATTTCTTCTGTGAAGTGTCTGTTCAGTGCCTTTGCCCCTTTATCGATTGGGTTTTTTTGTTTTTTTTAAGTTGAATTTTTTTTTTTTTTTTATATATATATCCTGAAGACTAATGCTCTATCTGAGGTACAGGTGGCAAAGATTTTCTCCCATTCCGCGGGCTCTTTCTTCACTGTCTTGATTGTCTCCTTTGCTGTGAAGGAGCTTTTTAGTTTGATACTATCCCATTTATTGATTCTTGGTTTTACTTCTTTGAGCTTTAGGAGTCTTGCTGACAGATTTGGTTCCTAAGCCGACATTTTGGGAAGTTGGGCTTACATTTTCTTCTAGTAGGCACAGGGTCTGCAGTCTAATGCCTGAGTCCTCCATCCACTTTGAGTTGAGTTCACGCGTGGTGAGAGCGAGGGGTTTAGTTTCACTTTATTATATGTGGGTTTCCAGTTTTCCCAGCACCATTTGTTGAAGAGGCTCTCTTCTCTCCAGTGACTACTTATGGCCCCTTTGTCCAGTGTCTTGCATTCCACTGGTCTCCGTTCTGTCTTGGTGCGGCCCCATGCTGTTTCTGTGGCTCTGTGGTGTAGTTTAAGGGTGTGCTACTGGGATGCCTCCTGCTTTGCTTTTCTCACTGAGGATTTCTCCTTATTTTTCCAAATGAATTTCATAACTGCTTTTTCTGTTTCCATGAAGAATATCATTGGAACCTTAAAAGGAATTAAGAATGAATTGGAAGGGTTCCTTCCTTTTGTATTTCATGGGATCATTGAGGAGATTGGTGTTAGTTTTCTTTGAAGGTCTGGTAGAGCTCAGCTGAGAATCTCTGTCTGGTCCTGGGCTTCTCTTCCTTGGCTTTTGATAGCATCTTTAATTTCATAGCTTGAAATTGATCTGTTTAAACTTTCTATGTCCTCCTGATTCAGTTTTTTTAGGTCATATGTCTCTAGAAATTTGTGGATGTTTTCAAGGTTATCTATTGTATCAGAGTAGGAATTTTCAAAGTAGGTTTGGTTATCTTCTGTATTTTAGTAGTTTGTGTTGTGATATTTCCTTTTTCATTGTGAATTTTAGTAATTTGAGTTTTCTTTGTTAGCTTGGCTAAGGGTTTATTAATTTTATTTTATTGATTTGTTTTTCAAAGAACCAACATTTTGTTTTGTCGATTTTTTTGGATTATCTATTTTGTTTCAATTTTATTGATTTCAGCTCTGATTTTATTTCCTGTCTTCTGCTTTTGGTGTTGATTCATTCTTCTTGTTCTAGGACTTTGAGATGTAATGATAGGTTATTTATTTGTTGACTTTCTATACTTTTAATAATAAGTGAGCTCAATGCAATGCATTTTCCTCTTTGCACTGCCTTCATAGTGTCCCAGAGTTCTTGATATGTTGTTTCAGTATTCTCATTTACCTCTCAGTATTTTTTTTTCATCCCAGATTTCTTCTGCTATCCATTGTTCATTCAGTAGCATATTATTTAGTCTCCGGGTATTAAAGTAGCTTCTATTTTTTTTGAACTTTTTTTTATTATAGATAGACACAATACCTTTATTTTATTTGTTTTTATTATGTGGTGCCAGGGATCGAACCCAGTGCTTCATGCATGCTAGGCAAACTCTCCATCACTGAGCCACAACCCCAGCCCCTCTATTTTTAGTTTCATTCTTGATTTCTAAATTCATTCTGTTATGATCTGATAGGATGCAAAGTATATCTATTTTTTTTTTATATTTGCTAAGAGTTGCTTTGTGGCCTGAGACGTGGTCTATTTTAGAGAAGGATCCGTAGCTGCTGAGAAGAAAATGCATGTCGTCATCCTGCCAGATCTTACCTGTCATTTTTCTCTGGCGTTCTTTAAAATTCTATCCTTATTCTCTGTGTTGAGCATTTTCATGATAATGTGCCTTGGTGTGGGTCTGTTGCAGTTTTGTGTATTTGAGGTCTTGTAAGCTTCCTGCATTTGATTTTCCACTTTATTCTTTAGGTTTGGGAAATTTTCTGATATTATTTCATTGAAAAGATTGTGCATTCCTTTTGTTTGTATCTCTGAATCTTCATCTCTCCCAATAAATCTTAAATATAGTCTTTTCAGGTTATCCCACATTTCTTGCAAGTTCTGTTTGTGGTCTCTTAACATCTTTTCTCCATGTTTAACTTTGTTTTCAAGATTATTTATTTTGCCTTCATTGCCTGAAACTCTAAGTGGTCTAGTCTGTTGGTGATGCTTTCAATTGAAATTTTAATTTGATTTATTGATTTCCTTCATTTCAAAGATTTGTATGCTTTTCTTTTTTTCAGAATCTCTCTTTATTGAAGTGATATTTCACTTCCTGTATTTTCTTTCTGATTTCACTCCTTATACTGGCTTTTACTTCGCACATCGTTTTAACTATGTACATTATAAACTCTTTCTTGGATATTTCTTCCACTCTGGTGTTGTTGGATTCTGTTATTGGAGTACCTTGGTCTGTTTGCGATGATTGACCCCTTGCCTTTTCATGTTGTTTGTGTGTCTACCCATCTAGCAGTATAGATGTGAGGAGTAGAGTTTTTTTTTTAAATTTATTTTTTAGTTGTAGATGGACACAATATCTTTATTTTTATTTGTTGCTCAGGATTGAACCCAGTGCCTTGCATGTGTCATGTATGAGGCAAGTGCTGTACCACTGAGCTATAGCCCCAGCCCTCCTGTTTTTTTTTTTAATGTATTTTTTAGTTGTAGATGGACACAGTATCTTTATTTATTTTTATGGTTTTTTTTAATTTATTGGCAGTAGAGTTTTTATCCTGTAGACTTACAGTGTCCCTGAAGGTTTCCAATACCTCACGCTGAGAAGCTACCTGTCTGCTTTCTCGGTTTCACTCCACGTAGCAGCCAGGAAAGTGACCTCTATTCTGCCATCTTGAAAACCAGAACAGTGTTTCTTAAGAAGGATTGAGAACACCACGGAGCTTTTTAGCCTGCATGGGTTATATGTCTTGATATTTATCTTATTAGAAATTAAAATTAAAATTAGAATTATTATTTCACTTAAAACAGCAGTAAACTCGTTACATGTTGAGATGAATCACCATACTTCTGCAAAAGTAATTTCCAAAACAGCCACCTTGAGGGAGAAGAAGGGGCTCATTCCGTGCTTTGACGGTCTCTTTCATGGCTGACTGATGAAAGCGTCTGGGTCACCTGCATTCACAGTGACTTCAGGTGCATGTGACAGGAGAGAAAGAAAAGCAAATGGCACCTTTACATCACCGTGGCGTGTTCTTAGCCTTAGTGCCCTGAAAGGCCCTCAGACACCCCAGGGTCCCTGGACCAGTTTGAAAACTGCTACAAGGAATAGCGTTCAGTACATATAATTCAGTCAGTGCTTATGGGGTGAATTGGCCAATTCCAGAACGTTGTCTGCTGGGCTGCAGACTGGAGATCATCTGTTGGCTGTGTGAGTTCTCGTGCCTCCAACAGGCTTGTCCTTGGCCTGCGGCTAGGTGTGTGTGTGTGACAGGTCTTGCCTGAGGCCCTCTCTGCTTTTCCTGTGACAGGTGTCCCTGTGCACAGCAGAGTGTCCTCCAAGATCCAGCAGCTTCTGAACACCCTGAAGAGGCCCAAGCGCCCTCCCCTGAAGGAGTTCTTCGTGGACGATTTTGAGGAGCTTTTGGAAGGTAGAGTCCTCTGATCTGAGCCCTGTGTGTGTGTGCCATCTGGAGGCACAGGTGGTGGTGCAGAGACGTGAGTTCCTGTGCCACGCCATGTCAGACCCTTTGTCTTTGTGTCCAGACTCTGGTGAGCATGTGCAGCCGTGAGCTTAGAACCACACCTGCCTGCACATGGTCAGGGTTAGAGAGACTTTGCAATCCCCACGCCCAGTCCAGGGTTAGGACAACACTGCTAAGGTTTCTTCTTTACACTTTTAGTTAAACTCTAAATGTGAAATACTTGTCTTCTTATGGTTCTAAAGTACTGAGTTTTTAGCACATGTTCAAGTCCTTTTCAGAATTTTAACTTCTCATTTATGAATGGAATATATATTTAAAAACAAAGAACATACTGAGCATGGTGGCACATGCCCATAATCCCAGTGACTCTGGAGGCTATGGCAGGAGGATTGCAAGTTTGAGGCCAGCCTCAGTAACTTGGCAATACCCTGTCTCAAAATAAAAAATAAAGAGGGCTGGGGATGTAGCTCAGTGTTAGAGTGCCTCTGAGTTCAATCCCCAGTACTGCAAAAGAAGAATATAGATTTATTTTAAAAAAGAAGAACTAAGAAGAAGCAGAAAGAGGCCCACACCCTTAGAAGGGCACAGAGATGATGCCTAGTGTTGGTGTTGAGTGTGTTGTGACCCCTGGGCCTGCCTGCCCTCAGTGGCAGGCCAGTGTGGGGCCTGGCTTGTCCTTCATGCTTAGACAGGTCCAGAGCTCCACCGTGTGCTTACAGCGCTGAGCTTCTCAGCACCTTGGAGAGCAGTCCTTGTTAACAGTGGGGTCTTTGGGGCCACAGGAAAATCAGTAGTGGGAATTGGTGGTGGAAATCAGTGAGGTGACCGTCCCGGCAGCTCCTGGCCTCAAGTCCTGTTCACTTTGGTCCTGGGTGGGCCGGTTGCTCAGACCTCCTCCCAGGCTCTGGGGCCTGTAGTGCTGCACTGGGGTGGCAGGCGTCAGGTGCCACAGTTATCCCCAAGGTGCAAGTAGATGTACCCTCCTGAGCCACCTTCACTGTCTGTGGCTGAACTTTCCTGGAGGGTGAAAGCCACACCGTCTACGACTGACTCTCCTTTATGTGACTGTGGTAATGACGAAGGTCTAAACCACTCATGTCAGGCTTTTTACAGTGGTGAGTGCGGGGCCTCCACAGTGCTGACGTCTGAACTCCGGCTCTGCTTACAGTTCAGCAGCCAGATCCCAATCAGCCGAAGCCTGAGGGAGAGGAGGTGGAGGTGCTGAGAGGGGAGCCCCCGGCCACAGGGGTGCCCTGGCCACCGTCTCTGCTAGCTGCCCTTCAGCGATGGGGCACAGTGCAGCCCAAGGCCCCCTGCCTGACTGCCCTGGACACAGCAGGGAAGGCCATCCACACCCTCACCTACGGCAAGTACTCAGGAGGGTGGTCGCACTCTGGTGGGGGGCTGGGGGGCCACAGTGCTTACTGTGTAGCCTGCACACACCTGTTGACCCGCCACATCAGCAGCAGTTCCTGAGGCGCCGCACACCTGCCGTGCTGCCTGGGTGTGCGTGGCCAACTGTATTCTGAGCAGCGGGTGCGCTGGCGCAGCTTTAGCCACGCAGCGCCTCTGTGCTTGGCGTGTTTGGGTTCCGCGCTACATCTGCTGTCACACAGCTGACGGTGCAGGTACAGCTCGGTGCCTTGGCAGAGTGAATGCTCTTCTGTGAGCTTTAGCTGGCCAGGTCCAGGCCTCCGTGGCCCTCCCAGCACTGATGTCCTCCATACAGAGGGGAGCCCGCCCAGCTACTCAGGCTGCAGGCTCTCTGTGGCCGACACGTTCATAGAAGCAGGATTTTATTTTATTCATTATTGTTTATTTATTTGTTTATTTTAATTTTTTTTTTTTTTTTTTTAGTTGTAGATGGACACAATGCCTTTATTTTATCTACTTATTTTTATGCGATGCTAAGGCTCGAACCCAGTGCCTCACACATGCCAGGCAAGTGCCCTCCCACTGAGCCACAGCCCAGCCCAGAAGCAGGATTTGATGAAAGCTGCTCTTTGGTGTCTGATGGCTTGCCTCGTGCCAGTCTCCACCATGCGGTGTGCAGCTGTGTTGACGCTCATTGATGGGTGTTGTGTGCTCAGTGCGTGTCCCACAGCTGTCCTTGCTCTCCCAGTGGTTGTCCCAGCTTGGGACTGCCGTTCCAGAGGCCATTGTGAACACTCTTTTCTCTCGTCTGCAGTCCTGGGTGAGAGCCTGGGGGGGGGGGTTGAAGGTAAGGGATCCCAGGAGACGTGTGGCCTTGGGACCTGCACTGCTTTTCCAGAGGGGTGGGAGCAGCACTCCTTCCCAGAGCAGCACGGAGAGCCCCTTGGGCTCCATCTCATGGCCTTGTGAGTTAGGTTCTGATCTGCCTTTGCTGGGGGCCGCCGGCACTGAAGGCCCTGTCCATGATCCTCCAAGTGTCAGCGTGGGGGCTTCTTTGTTTCAGCTGCAGCCTTTTGTCAGATACCTGCTTTGTGGCTGTCTCCTCTCAGCCTGAGGCTTGCCTTCTGGCCTTTCATGGTGGCTTTGATGAGTGGAAGGCCTCCCTGCAGTCGATGTGTCTGTGCCTGCTTTGTTGAGGTGCAGTGGTAGGATCCCAGCTCTCTGCCTGTTCCTCAAGATTGCTGTGCTGTTGTTGACCCTTTGCATTTCCAAGTAAAGTAGAAACCAGTGGTCACTTTGCTAGGAGTTCTTGCTGGGATATTGGTTGGCACTACATTGAGTCTGTGGTTTGATTCAAAGAGAATTGATATTATCACAGTTCTGGAACCTTCTAGCCCATGAGTAGAATATTTCCCTCTTTTTAAAGGCTGCCTTAATTTCTCTCAGGATTATATTTATACTACTGAGTACAGAATTCTTCAGCAGCTTTCGTTAGGTTTATTCCTGTTCTAAATGTATAATTAAAATTTCTCCACTGACTTGGTGACCCCAGCCTGTGGGTGCCGCTCACCTCTGAGGGGGCCTGGCTGTGCTCTGGAGGCCCCAGTCTCTGCTGATGGCCCTGGGCCCTGCGCCTGGCCTGAGGGTGGAGGACTGGGTCGGTCCGCACCACTCAGGGTTCCCCGTCTGGAGTCTGACTCTGGCTGTCTTGCTGCCCCTGACAAGTGATCTCTGTTTTGTGCAGCTGTAACTCCGCAGTGCCCCTCCTGTCTGATCCAGAGCCTTTTAGAATCACCCACAGGATCTCGTGTAGGTGTGGTCAACGGGCTTCTGTTGAGGAAAGAGCATAGCGGGACCCACTTACCAGTTACGCTGTTGGTGGACACCCGGGTGGCGTCCAGCGGTGGCCATTAGAAGTGGTGCTATTGGCGGGTGCTGCTGTGGGCCCTCTGGCAGTGAGCAGGTGCCACTTTCCCAAGTAGGCCCTAGGGGTGGAAGAGCGAGGACTGGGGCCCACGTCCCTCAGCTTGCCCACCGCCACACCCACATGCTGTGGTGGGTGCTTAGTGCTCAGGCCCACTCTCCACCTGCGCTGTGAGAACTGGTGGTGTGGCCATGGCTCTGACGTGGCCTCCCGAGGGGTCAGTTGTTGAGGCCTTCTGCCCTCTGCCATGTACCCGTGTCCTCTGCATGGCTTCCCAGGTGTCTGCAGGACCTCTTCTGCACCCAGCAGGCTGCCGGCGTCCTTGCCACTGTGTGAGGGTCTGTGGGCAGAAGTTCCAGCCTCTTGCCTTCTTTGCCTTCAAGGTTCTTGCTTTCTGTGTTCTAGGCAGACTTCTTCCCTGGACTGTGGTCACAGAGTTGCTCTGTGAGCCTGGGGAAGTGCCTACTTTTTTGCCCTTCACATGGCGAACGTCCCTGCCCTGTGTCCCGTATGGGAGAGGTCCCGAGAAGGGTCAGCAGCTGGCCCCCTCTCTGCAGCAGCACCGGGCCCTCCGTCCAGGAGTCCTGCCTGTGAGCCTCTCTTACCTTCTCTTCTTCTGTTGGCTGATGGCACCTGTGAGCCTTGGCCATGCTTTCTTGGTGCCCATGGCCTTATGATGAGACTCAGCCTCATGGAGAATGTTCCCTGCTTCTCCTCCAAGGGTGTCCCAGCTGTGCCAACCCCATGCATCCCAGGTTGTCTCAGAGGAAGCTTGCCAAGCACCTCGGCATCCCTGCCAGTTTCTGCTGAGTTGCCTTGATCCGGCCCCAGGAGGACCAGTGCTTCTACAGTATGGAGTCTTCCGTTTCAGTAGCGTCTGAACACTCTCTGCAGGAGACTCTGTGGATTCTTGTGACACTTTGAGTTTTATGTATTTAGGGAGTGTGTTTTGATCTAATTGTAAATGGATCGTTATGTCTTAAAATTTACTGCTGTAGCATATTCAGGTGACACGGTGAGCTGGGCGTGGTTGCGCCCACCTGTGATCCCAGTAGCTGGGCAGGCAGGAAGATTGCAGGTTCAAAGCCGGCCTCAGCAACTTAGTGAGGCTCTGTCCCTAAAAATATAAAGTATAAAATAAAAAGATCTGGGGACACAGCACAATGGCAGAAACACACTGTGGGCAATCCCCAATACCATTAAAGAATAAATATCATCCTGTGTACTGTCACGCAGGCAGCCTCGCCAGAGTCTTGTAAAAGATGGACAGGCACGGCATCCTCTCACTCACAAAGCATAGCTCTGTCCCCAGGTGCTTCCGCACTGCCACTTCCCCCATCTGGCTGAGGCATTCTGCTCACGGCTGGGGCAGCTGCACTGGCCTCCCTTCTGCCCCCAGAGGGAAGGCTCCAGTGTCCGCCTCAGCTAGGGCATTCCCATGGGCTCAAGGTGACCAGCGTCAGATTAAGGAAGTATGTGTCCTTTCACACCTAGTTTAGGAAGGGTTTTGAAAAACATTTAAAATCACTTTTAAGTCATGAGGGATTATCGGTTTTCTCCCACCTGTCATCATTGTTAATGGTGCTGCGTTTCCATGAACCTCTGCATTTCTGGGTAGAACTAACTTGATCACAACATGTTATTCTTTTCATAGTTTTTATTGGTTTCTGTTTGGAGATGTTTATTATAACTGTTGACATCTTTTTTTTTTTTTTTTAAAGAGAGAATTTTTCAATATTTATTTTTTAGTTCTCGGCGGACACAACATCTTTATTTTTATGTGGTGCTGAGAATTGAACCCAGCGCCCCGCGCATGCCAGGCGAGCGCGCTACCGCTTGAGCCACATCCCCAGCCCTATAAGTGTTGATATCTTGACCTTAACTTTAAAGTGGGCTTACTCTGTTTTGAGTTAAATGTTTGCTTTCTGGTGTCTTGGGGTCCACGGCCACTCCCGTCACTTTATGGTGCTTGGTCAGCTCCACTGCTATGGGACTGAACACTGGACCACAGGGCGGGCTGTCCAACCCATGGTGTCCACCGAGCCTGAAGGCCCAGCCTGGGTGTTTTGTTCAGGAATGGCGGCTGTATCAGGGTTGGGAATGAATGTCTCCCATGCTCCTTCTGCTGAGCCCGCTTTCTTCCTGGGTGAGGCTGTTGTCAGCTCCCCAGGTTGGGCACTGCGTGAGGTAGCTGCTAGTCAGGAGGGACAGAGAGGTGGTGCCTGGCCGTGGGCCCCTCCAGCCACTGGAGAAAGCTCTGGCCCTTCAGGAAACATGTAGCGGCCACAGGAGGTGAGGGTGGATGTCACGGGTCACACTCAACGCTGTTGGCTGAGGGGGCAGTGTGAGTGGTGGCCTCTTCCCAGAACTCACAGACGTGCACATGTGCATGTGTGCTCCCATGTATGGCATCATGCATGCACAGCATGGCATGTTTTGCTGGCTTTGCTAGACTTTAATAAATTCCTGTTTTATGTTTGCATTAAGAAAAATAAATGTATAACTTGTTCTTGGGAGAAAACTGATGTTTGTTGCAGCATTATGTAGGGTGGCTGTCATCTGGAAACTGGATTTCCAGTCTTAGCTAATGGTATGTTGTTAATGGGGTATTGCAATTGCTGCATTGAAATGTTAACTATTAGGCTCCTTAAATATTACATTGCTTAGTATTTTTATTTTATTTTAGGCAAACTTTGGAGTCGGAGTTTAAAATTAGCTTATACTCTACTTAATAAACTGACTAGTAAGAATGAACCACTACTTAAACCTGGAGACAGAGTAAGTAACTAGAATGTAACTTTATTGGACTGAGCAAAAGCAGGCTTAAGCAGCCTGTTCTGTTGAAATTGTGTCTTGTCGGTTGGTTATAATGAGTGTTAACCTGTGGGATTTAAAGTCAGCAATGGAAACATACCATGTGGACTGGTGTGCGATGCAGTGTCAAGTGGTCATTCCTCTCCTCCCTATCGCCCACCCACTGGTCTTCCAGCTCATGTTGGGCTTCATGTGTGTTGGCGTTGATAGGCCTTGACTTTGCAGGGCAGGGGTCCATGCTGACATTGACCTGTCCATGAAGTCCTGGATGCTTTATGTCATCTCCTCCCCACAGGGCTGCCTTGGAAGCCAGCCCCCTAGTCCTGCACTGCCCAGATGGTTGTTTGAATTTAAATGAACCAACGTTAAGTTGAACTAAAGCACAGTCCCTCAGTTGCAGGAGCCATGTATCCAGGGCTCAACAGCGACGTGTGGGGGATGGTTGCTGTCCTGGGCAGAGTGGAGGTGTTTTCCATAGTCATACAGGGTTCTCTTGGACGGCACCGCCTCAGGCAGGCTGCACTGACCTGAGGACCCAGGCTTGTGGAAGGTCAGTGTGGACAGCAGTGTGTGTGTTGGAAATCAGCACGCTTACCAGGGAGGGGAGACCCCAGTGACAGGCCACCCACAGTGAGGTGGCATGTTAACTTGCCAGCCAGAAGCTTCTGCCTCACTCCAGAGAGAGGCTGAGGGTGAAGGAGAATAGACAGATGGCATTGAAGATGGAGAGGGGAGCGAGGGAGAAAATCAGGCGCGGAAGCAGATTTCCTGAAGTTAGCATTCAAGAAAAGGATGTCAGCAGAAAAGACCAAGAGTTGGAAAGTAGGAGGAGCCAAGAGGCAGAATCAGAGACTTGGTGAAGGAGGTCCATGCCAGCTTAGCCCTGGGAGTGCAGAGGAGGGTGGGAGCAGAACACTGCAGGCAGTGCAGGGTGAGTCGCCGGCCCTACAGAGCATCGTGTTCCTTGTGAACACAGCTGACCACTCTAAAGTGTGTGACCACGGGGCAGAAGGCGCCTCAGAGCCACGCACATGGGGAGCACCAGCAGTCACAGTGTGCGGGACTCCTCAGTAGAACCCTGCAGGACAGAGGAGGGTGCCTCAGACACTCAGAGGGGGTGGACCTGTTTCCACCTGGCAAATACAGTGCGGAACTCAGACCTGGCTCAGAAGCCCCTTTCCTGGCTAGTTCCTAGGGGATGTGTGACAGTGAGTGAGGGGGTCCCAACAGGAGAGTCACACAGAGGTCCCAGGACAGCCATGCTACAGCCCTGGCAGGGGGACCAAGGCCAGAGTCGGATGCAGTGCCCTGAGGTGAGTGAAGCTTGGGGTCACGTGACTGGCTGGTTATTGGGAACAGGACCCTGAATGGCACTTGGCTCATCGGATGGGGTGTCTTAGGGCTGTCATCCAGCGTCCATGGAACAGATGGAAGAGGGGTGCTGTCCCAGCAGGAGGGAGACCCTTGTGGCACCACTCTTAGGGGTGCTGTGTTCAGGCAAGGTGTGTGTGGTGCTTCAGGACAGCCTGCAAGACCCTGACTCCCCCCGACTCCCTGAGCCTAGGGATTGCAGCTCATTTTCTTTCAGGGACAAAGATTTGCAGATGGTTTCTCCACTTGCAAGAGAAGGTTGCCCTTAGGTTAATAAAAAGGTACACTCAGCAAGCAGGTTAATGTTGGAGATCGGTGGCCCACAGACTGCCAGCTGATGCCCTTCACAGATGGTAACGACACTCCTTCACCAAAGACTCTCTGGAAGGATGTTTTCCCTGACAGCCGTCTGTCTCAGGGTGTGGGTCACATCTCTGGGCAACTGTTAACACCAGCCCTCAAGGAGAGTTTATCCTTCCCCACGAATGGACTTGCTGGCAGCTTTGCAGAGCCTAGGTCCAGAGTGGGTTCTGCCCATCTTCCCGGGGGCCCTGTGCTGAGTCTGCCTGTTTAAGGACTGTTCTGACCTACTATGGCAGAATCAGGGCTTATGAAAACGTTTTTCCATATGTAGCTTCTAATTTGAGTAGATACAGTTTAAAAAAAAAAAAAACCTGGGATGAAAGCAGGAATACAAAATGTTTCCCTAAAATAACAGGATATTTTAAAATGTAAAATGTAGAAATGTAAACCCAGTATTTAAAAGCATGAGAGTGAACAACAAAGGACAGATCTAGAATATTTTAAATGTGTTGTTTTAGTAGGTGACCGAGGACAGGGCATGGTGCTACTGTTTTTCATTGGTCATTTTAGACCATTTTAATGAATTTTGATACAAATTAAAATGCAAGGTGAATGAGGGAGAGCTGGTAATTCACAGGGGCAGCACCCTGTCTAGGTGGGAGTGGGAGGGTGCCCAGGTGGGAGCGAGAGGGTGCCCAGGCAGGAGCAGGTGCCCAGGCGGGAATAGGTGTCCAGATGGGAGCAGGAGGGTGCCCAGGCAGGAGTAGGTGCCCAGGCGGGAGT